TTAGCTCCAACCTCACTGTCTTGTCCTTCTTCTGCATCTTTTTTTAATTTTTTTGTTAACTTACCTTCACACTACACCCTTGGTTTTGGCTCACTCCGTATTATTGTTAATGACAATCTCAACCTCGCCCCATTATCATTTCCCTCGCGATGCTTTTATGTTCAACCACTGTTCGTAATTTAACCTTTTGGTACTTCGTGTTCCATCAACGCATTATTTTGATAACTCATGTCCATCATTTGACACATTTACATGCCTGTTTTGTCCTTTACACTCCAGTTAATTGTCATGTCCCATCTGCGATATATCAATGATCTGCACGCCGTGGCATTTTACTTCTTTCTACTAACGGGCGCGCATGCCTTAATCGGTTGATATCTTTTGCGTACCCTGCGTTGGGTCATTTTAGTTCTATTGGGGTGTTCTCTATTGTTTACTCTATTTTTCAATGGGATGCAAAGCTAACCACAATTTTAGTTTATATCCGTCAGGCACCAATACACTTGTCTTTATTTAACATATCTCTGGCTATTGAATCGCCTGGCTGTTTTGATAATTATCCAAGTCCTCACCTCCAATTTTAGTGGGCGCAGTCTACTCCGATCAAATCATTCTTTCTTTGTTATATCTAACATACTTCCTCACATTACCACGCATTGACTTTGAAAATACATATTTATAGCTTATTTAAGCAAGTCCCGAGGTGATTCCACATTACAGCTCAAGTTAGGCCTTCAGGCTTCAAATTCTCTAAGCCTCTTAAATCGGCGCTTAATGAAAAAGGAACCTCAAGCAACTCTATAGGGTGCAGCATATATTAACTCATGTTATTTAATCCCATGCGCCCATTGCGTTTCATTACTAGTTCGGGTTTGTAAATGTTGATTGCCTTTTATAGGCCATATAAGTGCCCACTGATAATTGCGACTTAATTTGGGGCGGATGACAGATTCTGCTACGTTGATGCTTCGCGTTATTGCTCAGCTGCAGTCGTACATCTGCATAAGCGGGTTTAATCCACATGTGTGTTCGCCTAGATTAAAGTCATTCATATTTACTGATAAGATCTCCTGCCACCTGCGGGGCCTAGGTGTCTGACACATCTTTATCTTGCCTTGATAGCGTTTTGCGAAGGCAAAGGAAAGATTTCAGCCAGATCCGCCCGAGACGACTGAACAAGGGACCGTTTTGTATCATCACGACTCTTGGAGCTTGGATCAGACCAGATAAGTTAGATCGGAGGTATGAAGACCAATACAGTGTGGCCTTTAGTATAGTCGCAGTCTCCTTTCGTTGTATTCACAACTTGAATATATTGTCAGGAAGGCCCAGAGAAATGCACCTTGTCTGCAGTCCATAGTATGCGTGGTAATTTTCAGAGTCGGAGTATGGACTTGCTGCATTCCCAGAGGTTTGTCGGTGAGCCTTGGCACTCTTGGCAACACACCACCAGTCAGAAATAAATGAAGTAAATCCTTTGATCAGTTGTCCGCTAAGTTGTATCTCTTCTATTCCGGTGTCTTAACCTATACTATATTCTCTTAACCGTTCATTATCACAATTTTATTCCTTGTTTATTTAAACTTGGTTCTGGTGTTCCCTTTGAGCGTGTTATCAAAGTCGAACAATTGGTCAAAGGATTGACTTCACTTGTCTCTGACGAGTTGTGCGCGGTGTTAAGACTGGCAAGGCCTAGAAACGTCTAGGAATGTACCAAGTCCAAGGTGGGACTCTGGAAATTACTATTCATACTATGGAGTCCAGACAAGTAGAGTTCCTCTAGGTCTTCCTGCCAATATGACCAAGTCACGAATACAAGGTCAAAACAACTTCATATAGGTTAAAATTTGGTATGAGTTAATTACTCAAAAACGGCAAATCTCTGCCGGGCGAGTTTTTGTGAAGATTTGTAGAAATGAGTTGAATTTTTTTAACAAAGCACTGATGACTATTTATTGATACCCGTCTAGTAAATTGGCGGGTAGGAGACTTATGGATCGATGGATCTGCTAATCGAAACAATAATGGCACCGTATCGAGAAAAACAAGTACGATATAAGTATTTATTGTGAAAATAAGGACTTTTAGACAGGAAATCAGTTCCCCGTTCAAGTAATTCGTGAAAATTGAAAAAATCGCATTTAAGTAAGCAAGTCGAAGAGTATAAAATAGCTCAGATACAAATTATAAGACGGAAGACGTGGGATTGGGGAGCAGAGATGGTCCTTTTGGAGGCCGCTTTAATTATATTGCACTGAGAGAAGCTCACCGCTTTGAAATTTGGAATAGGCTCCAAATGAGCACATAAAGACGAATGAGAAAATAATGTTCAAGGAAGAGACTCCCTGGGAATCTTTCGTCTGGCCGAATGGAATGCTTAGGAAGGTGTTTTTGTGGTACCCCAAGGACGACTTTCGCAGATGAATTTGGAAGTAACACGGTTCAGAATAGCAAAGTCATTCCAGTACTTTCGCTCGCATTTCCCGTATACATGTTAAGGGAAAGTCAATCGTCAGTCTAACTAATGCGACACTAAGACCGTGATAGGTTTAAAAAGCGATGCCTTTGCTCGCATAGAAAAGTCAGACGAAAAGATACACAAAAAGCCAAACAGGGTTAACAAACAGGATGAATGCGTCTAATTTGATGTTATTTTATTCCAGCCTAGCGACAATTCAGTAGAATAGGACTAGGACTCAGCCTAATAGGAATGATTTGGTAGCCGTTGCACGAGTTGACTTAGTCATGGATGGATTCGATGAAAGATGAATTTATCCTGAAGAGCCACACCCCAAAAAATTAATTTCAATGCTAATGGTAGTTTTGTTAAGGGAGAGGTAGATTAGTTAGACATCGCCCACGTCCTGAGGTCTGCAGAACTCTTGCAGAATGTCCCGGGCCAGGGCATGGTCGAATCGGGCGACACGCAAGGCTCTTCTTACATCGATATCTGAATATCCTAGACTAAAGAGGATGGTGTTCGTATTCCTCGGCTCCATCGAAATTGAATCAAGACCACCGTTAACTGGATTAGGACCAAAGTCATTCGTATCTGACAAATAATTCAGGACGCCAGAAAGATAGGATGAGTGGGCTCCGGTAGCATGGCTGGCAGGAGTAATGTATTGCTGACCGTTTGGAGTTGCCATCGCTCCGCTCAGCCACATTCCTACTTCTTCTGAAGAGTCACCACCACCTCCGCCATCTGAAGTAGTGACAAAAGGCAAGGCCTCGGCCTGCTCTTCATCTTCAAGGTCAGATTCAGTAAAACCATCGCCGCCGCTGTCTGTACTGCAGCCAGGTCGAGGGACCTCCGGATCAGGAAGGTTCAAACAAGGTAAGAGTTGGTCGCTGAGCAGTGTAGCAGATATATGGTAATGGAATCCAGTCAGGAGGTTAATTCATTCGGAAAAATAAGTTTTGATTATACAAATTTATCACATAGTTAAGATGACAAGAGATAATTTACAAACTTCCTTAAATCAATGATAGGAAATCAAATAAAAGCGTAAAGGGAAGTCTTAACTTCTCCTGGCTTAAGAGTTCGAATTATTTCCTGGGCCAACGCCAGTTTGTAGCAATGCAAAGAGAGTACCCAGGGGATAATACATACAACTGTTCTCTCAGATGTACTAGTTTGGATATGTTGCATGGAAAACTCATACCAAAGGAGTGTAGGTGGGGGAAGTTGGCATAGCCGAGACATCCTTCATCTCAAACCGATCTAATGCCTGGGAAGATTTAATAAATGGGCCAGTAAGTGTGATGCTTATTCAAAGTAATGTATTGACGATTACATTGACAGACCTTATCCTGGTTACGAGGAAGCTTTGGGACTAATGGTTTTTCTCAAGGCATGTGCGTCGTTTAAAATCTGATCTACGATTTGAGAATAAGCTATTTTTAGGGCCTGAAGCCTACAACTAAAGCCATTTTGGATAATGCATTATTTAGCGAAGGTATGAAGACCAAGATGATGTGACCTTTTGTGTGGTCGCAGTCTCCTTTTGTTGTATAGAGGTTGAAGACCTTGTTTTTGCAACTTGGTCGTATTTAAGGAAGAATTAGAGAAACGCACCTAGTCCGGAGTCCATTGTACACATGATAATTTCCAAAGTCAGACCATGGACGTGGTACATCCCCAGACGTTTCGCAGGCATCGTCAGTGAGTCTCGACAGTCTTAGCACCACACAGCAACTTGTCAAAGTGACAAGTGAAGTTGATCCTTTGACCAAACGTGTGCTAAACAGTTGTGGTATTTGCTGTCCTGGGCTATTCACAATTCCTATATCCTCCTATCATGCTTTCACTTACATTTTTTACCGTGCTTATTTAGATGTAGTGTGGTGTGCTCCTTTGAGCGGCATTCATGAAAACCCTTCACAC